ATGGACCTTCCAAAGTGGATCGGTATAGGGTCAGAAGGGCGGGTGACCCCCTCCCCCCCCCCCCCTGTACGCCAGGGTCCATCTCCGCCCTTGTCTGCTACATTGTTTCTGTTGTTGGCACTCCGCTGGACCCTGCGACATACACCCTGTTGTGCCTAGATAAGGGGCTGCTGCTGCCACTGAGAGAATAACGGCGGGGGCAGCGAGGGTCTTCAACCACGCGAACGCGTGCTGCTGGCGAAGCCGCACGGGGGGTGTTCGTTGTTGTTGTCCGGCCACGGCGTGGTCTCCTGCCTGCTGTTGTCGTTTCCCAGACGCCTCAACTCGAGCGCTACTGCTGCTGCTGCTGCTGCTGCTTGTGTGTCGCAAGACCGATCCGGAGCTAGAGGGGCGAGAGAGAAGACCGCCCCACAAGCCTGACACGCCGTGGTTGGGTTCGCTGCAGCAGCGTTTCGGGGCCTTGTGGAATCTCCAATAGCGCGCGAAGGGGAGAGAGCCAGGGCAGACCGTAGTCGCGTGCTTGTTGTTGGCGCCAAAGCAGCTGCGCGGAGGAGTGTTTCAGCGTCGGAGCAGACAGGCAGATGATATTCCGAAGACCGATAAGAGACGTGGTGGAAGAGAGGCACGGGAGGTGAGACAGATAGACCAACACGAGAGAGACAGAGAGAGAGAGAGGAAGGAGCGTGACTCGTGCTTTGTGGTGCCCGAAGGCATGCGGTCAATTACTGGTCATATCATACGGCCGCCGCCTGGCGCCGAAGACTCGGATTATTTTTTTGGTCTCCTCTCCGCTACAACTGCTATTGTTCGCGCTCTTTTTGACCTTATTTTATGGGCGAATATTGTGTCCTCATGTTTGTGTGCTTCGATGCATACTCTACATAGGTCAATCACCAACCACTCCTGTGAGAGAAACAACAACAAAAACACCACGTTGAAGACACCACTTGCCAGCCACACCCAAGGACAACACCTAGCACACGCCCCCGGTCAATCGGGCCGTGTTCCTGACCATGATGGGATGTGAATGGCACAACAAATGTAGCCAATTTTGGTTGGCGACTTCAACTCTGGTCTGGTCCAAAATATGCATATTTATAAGTACAGGTTTGATTGCCATCTGCCGTGATCTGCGCTTGCCCCTGCATCCGAGAGACAGATCAACCTCTTGTATACGTTGATTTTCTTTTTTTTTTGTCTCTCCGCAAGCAAGCCATCAAGCCACCCATGGCTGCGCCGTTGCCGTTGTTAGGCGCACGTGTTGAGAGAGAGAGAGAGAGCACGAGAGAGATGTCTGTCCCACAATCCTTTGTGCGCGCGTTGACATTTTGGAGGCTCCTGTTCGAAGTCCGTGTGTGATGTCTGTTTCGTGAGTATTCGGTCGAAGACTGCCTTTTGTGTGGGACTGCACCTTGATGATGCCATGTCCCGAGGCATTCGGCCTCCCTCCAGAGAGGGACCGAAGACAACATACCACAGGCCTCAAGTGGCACCGCACCATGTAGTGTTGTGATGGCGACAGCAGTGGCAGTGCCGCCGCTGCTGGTGTACGGGCTAGACCTCTTCCCCCGCCCTAATATAATAGCCAAACAACGAGTCTGATTATCGTGGTGGGCGTAAAACAAGGCGTTTCCGAATGCACGCGTCCGGCAGCACTTTAGCGGCATGTTGTCCCATCGTGGTTCCCACATACTGTATGGTATTAAAGTAGTACCGGGTGGAGGTGCCATCATTGAGCTTGAGGCAACACGGTGGGGGTGGGGGGGAGTATGGCAGCAGTGCTAAGCGTGGTGAGGGAAGAGTAAGAAGAGTGTGGCGATACGTGTGATAAATAGCCGAAGCCCTCATCCTTTGGGGAGATAGGAGAAAACTGAGCATGTAGCTTATGAGGCGGCCGAAACCCTTACCTGTACATGCCATATATCATAGCACCACACACGCCGGAGAGATGGCGCGCGTCAACCAAACACCAATCGTTTTTTGTTGTGCCGTTCTGCCTTGTCTGTCTTGTCTACAATGGCGTTTTTTCCCGAGCACGATCCTCCGCTCTACATCTCTCGTGAGGTAATCATCTCTATTTATCCTTGCGAGTCCAGGATAGATGTGCGATGAACCCCGTCGGTCTCATTCTCAGCCTGTCCCTCCACTTCTTACTTCTATGTCGTACCATCCACTGCGGGTGATTCTGCTCGTGTAAGCGCAAGCATGGCCCCGAGCGTTGGTAGCGGGAGATAAACACATGTTTTCGTAGTAACAATGTTGCTGGGTGGATGCCCGAAGTCATGCGCCGTTGTATGTATTTATGCCCACAACTGGGTGGTGTTGGCACCAACGGAAAGTACACATCTTAATGATACCGTATGCAACGGGCCCATGTGGCCCCCAAACTAAAAAACTGTCATGATGCTAGTCTTAACGATATACTGTACCAGTAGCTTTTAGGCTGGGTTGGAGACAAGACGCTGAACGAACCAACCGAAAGGAAGAGGCGGCGGCGACACTCGTCCTGTCCTCCTGACGGGTGTTCCGGGCCAGATTTCAATCCCTCAATCCCGACAGCAATGAACCCCGGCGTCGTCGTTCAAGACGCCGACTGTTTCTGGCGGCGGCGCGCACCCAAGTAACTCATTCCAGACAGACATGCACTCGGTGCGGAGACAAGGTATCACACACACTCAGCGCAGAGCCTCCTGCGGAACCGCAGCACTGATAGCACTATTGTACCATCCTCTGGCGGTGGTTCTGCCGTATCTCGGAAGAGGAAACAAGGATGGTGTTGGGGGGGATCGCCCCAGAGCCCCGGGGCTGAGGCTGCTATCGGGAGGGAGGGAGGGAGGGAGGGGTGGCGTTGACATCATATGAAGCCGTTACGGCCCCGGGGGGGGCGAACTACCGTTACAGGCGGAGAGATGGCACCCCTGCTAGACCGACTTTCAAAAGCTCGAATTGCTCCACAACCAGGGGGTTGCAGAAAAAGAGCCCGAAAATTCTACGGAAAGCTCTCGACGAGACGTTTGCAAGCTCCACCACCGTTTGTGATGTTGTGGAACAATCGAGCTCTTGAAAATCGGTCTAAGTAGGTGGGGGGATGCCATCCTTACGCGTCTTAAGGTAAATTATGCTGTAGGTGACACAAGGGTGTCACACCGCCGAAATAGAAGGATTTTCAAGGTTCGATTATTCCACCGCAGAAATAGTGGCGGTGCAAGAAATTGCGGCGTTGGAGCGCTCTGATAGAGAGCACTCCGAAAATGCGTCTTTTGACTTATGAATCCTCTTCGTTGCTGAGAAACAGAGCTTTGAAAATCGGTCCAGCAGGGGGGGTGTGACATACCTTGTGTCACCTATGTTCGACCAAAGCAGGGTTGTTGCAAACTGGTTCTACACGATCAACCATGCCGTCTAATGCAAGGTTGGCAGGTGAACATAGCAGTGGTTGCTTTGCGTGAGCGCTAGTTCAGCAGTTTGAGGAGAGTCTTAAATGACAGGAAACCTGGTTGTGAGATCGTTGTTGTTGTTGGTAGACGCGCATTCGTTGTGGCCTTGACGGTTCTTCACGATGGTGATGGCCATAGGCCGCGGTTGGGGGAAAAGCTGACGATGGGATGGGCGCGGTTCACACATAGTCTGCTGATACCCTCTACACACATCACCTCCGAACCAGACAGAAAGTCTAGATACAGTATGTACCCTCCCGAAGGGTTGGGAGTGGGAGGATATGTCTGTCGAGGGCGATTGGTGCCCTCTGGTCACACACCTGCAAGTCTTGCATGGTCAACGCTAGCTCCCCAAGCAGATTTGCTAGCTTGTGTTTGCGCTGGCATGGTGCGGGAGGTTAGCCGATTCCTGGTGTGCGTTTTACCCGTACACACCATCGCAGGGCCACTTAAATACGAATACACACATGCAAAATATACTCTGCGTATTGTCCTCGTGCTCGCTCTAGAACGCCGGTCATTGTTCATGTTCGTTTTTTCCGACGACCCCCCCCCCTCTCCGCACTACCCGACCCCAACGCACGCACGCACCCTAGAGGTCTCCACGAGGTGGAAAGTGGTGTAGAAACTCTTCCTTTTACCGTGTAAGTGTTTGAGTTTGCTCGTGCAGGCAACCGCGTTTTCGATTCCCATCTTCTGCAGTAGAGTGGCATGACACATCAAATCAGCGGCGCGGCAATGTTTTTCCTTTGCAAGCGAAAACTCGACAGATGGGCGGCATGGGCACAGATTCTAGCGGCAGGGTTGGTGGGTCACTACGGCAGTAGCTTTTATGAGGGGCCACGCCTTGTTCTCTGTTCGGAGTTCTAAATATTTGTCTCCCCGACAATGTTTCTGATCGACCAGGGGGCGAAAATACACACCCGAATCTGTACCTTACCATACCATATCATGTACGGGCGGTATCCCGGCGCGGGAAGTGGCCACACGGTTGTGTTGCGCAGGGAAAGGAACGACAGAAGGTTACATACTTCCACCCCGAAATTCGATGACGGTATGTACAGCCGATGGGCGACGCTGTGTCCAATTATATGCTGAGGCGACGACGTAGAGCTAAACAGACGGAACTCCAGCCATGCCAGCATTTTTTTTTTTTTCTTCTGTCTTCACTTCAAATCAGCGCTCACAGACCTAGTGCCGTTTACTCCAACCCGTGGTCACACAGAAGAGCCCCTCTCTACCGTCCCCTCCTGCGGTACTTTGCCTTCGATTTTTAATGCGAGAAGAGTTCAGCACACTCTTCCCTATGTGTAGACACGAACTAGCGCCTATCTACTAGGCCAGGAGCGGAAGCGAGAGAAAAACTCACTTTGCAAGAAAAATTCGCTTACGCCGGAATTCGAACCCCTGGCCTGACATCTAGAAGGTTTCAAGGTTACCAACTAGACCACCGGGGCGACCGGCAGCATTGCCCACACTCAAAACCGAGCAAAACAGGTTCGGGCACACAAATTTAAAGCGCCCAAATTCTACATTGTAGCTGGGAGTACTTTTGGACTCATGCGCCTAACAACCAATTGAAGACTGGAAGCTGGGGATGAGACTTACAGGGGTTATCTCTCGAAAACACACTTTTGTCGGTCTCGGCATAACAACGTGTACAGCTGGTTTTCCCCTCAGGAATCGATGACGAAAAGCAGTTGGTGCACTGCACTGCTGTTATAACCTCGTAGTTTGTAACCGTTCTGCTCATCATTTGGTTGGTCAATTTTTGGGACACGTTGGTGTCGTACGTACAGTAGTTGAAGGTGTTTGGCCGGTGTCTTAAATCAACTGCAATTACTTGTCAGGGTCGGCCATGTTCCGAGACCTGTTCAAATCCGTTGCGTTATTTGCAATCGACAAACGACTCCACCCCCTGTACAAGTATACTACAGGGAAACCACAGAAGCTTCCATTTTTCTCGACTAACAAGATCAGCAGCCATGTCGATATGGAAGACCAGGTACAGTAGTTACGCTGCCATCATCTGCCTCTGCTCGTGCTAGCAGGGAATCAGCTCACAGATCGACTGACCGAACGTCAGGAGCGTCCCGGAAAAGTATACTGTCAGTCCTCAGTCCTCATTGGTCAACGGAGCAACTGCTCTTCCGCCTGCTGCATCACACGCATTGCCTAGCCACATTCGGAAATACTTTTTGTCTATCAATAGGCCGTTTCTTGTCGGCTAGAGAGAAACGGAAAAACAAGATGAAAACACGCTACAATTGTAAGCACGAATGTACGAAGTCATGATGGTTTACAATATGCTTGTTTCCTCCGTTTTTTGTCGGCTAAAAAGACACCGAGACACAAAAACAACGTAGAGCATTGATAATTTATCCTGAACGCCTATGCTGTGGATCGGGATGGATTCACTGCTGTGTTGCTGTATGAAAATGCAAGAACGACAGTTCTCTTTCTACATGCGAGAGCGCCTGGAGACATTAGTGCGTTTGTCGTGCCTTCGTATTTCGGGTTTCGGCACAGCTTCAGCTATTCCCGCTCCGACCACCGTACGGTAGCGTACTCTACCTCACCTTGCCCTACTACCCTACCCTGTTGCTGGGGATTCTTTTTTCAGTGGCCTTGGCCGGCTTTTTCGCTTAAGTGAACATGTTGGATGTAAATTGGGTTCGGGTTATGGTATTTTCGATTTTTTTCGTTGTGCACGGACGTTGTGAACCGTGTCTGACACTACTCGTGCGTGGCTCACGGTGATACCTATGCCTGCACCTTGTTGATGCGTATCTGTACTACTGTTGTACCTCGCGGAAGTAGAAACGCTTCAGTACCTACAAATATGTTTTTCTCACCAAATTGAACAACCCTCCTCCCCCCTGCACAAACGCTTACCCTTCCTCTCTCTTCGTGCTCTGGTGTGATGATACCGTGTACTCCAACCGATCACCGATTGCGGGAACCCCGTGTTTGTGTCTAACCCCCCCCCCCGCCCCCCCCCGCCACGGCCACGCGCGCTCCCCTTGTCTCTCTTTTTGATCGGCGAGCAGAACATGCGGAGTGCACGTGTTTCTGTTTTACATCCTGGCGCTGGGAGCGGTGTTGGCGATGTCGACAGCCTGTCTTTCGGCGACGGAATCGGGGTACTTCTCCTTCGACCAGCAGATCCACACGAGTCATGTGCCGGATGAATTGGACGCAGAAGGCGGCATCGATATCGACTACCAGGTAACCATACCCCCCTGGACCGATATCCAAAGCTCGATTTCTCAACAGCAGGAAGAGTCACGGCGCTGAAAACGGCGGCGCTGGAACTGTCTCGTCGAGAGATTTTCGAAAATGTACCGTTTGGTTCATGCATCCTCTTCGTCGTGGAGTAATCGAGCTTTGAAAATCGGTTCAGGGTGTGTGTTATCTTGTGTCATGTACGGTATCCTGTTCTGTTATCGTGTGGTCTGGGATTTTTTTTTTTCTTCGTACAATTGTGTGTTTCAATTTAAAGGCACGGAAAATGTTCACGAGTTGAAGATGACATTCATAATGTACTACTTCGTAAATAGCACTCGTGTCTCAAATCTAGTATTGGTATGTGGTGGTTGTTTCTATGGATGTTTCCTGACCAATATAAACGGGCATTTTTTCTGCCTACTCGCTTCAGATCACGTACGGTTGGAGATCGTCGTGCACGTGGGTGAGAGCGGAGTACACCGAAAGCAATGGCGAAGAAAAGGTATGCATACGTGCAGTACTGTTTTTTGTCCACGACCCGTACATTCATTGCCCGTTCAATTGCGGCGAAAACCAGGGGACTCGGTGAAGGGAAGAGGATTTTATAATGCTTCGCACGATTCGGTAGTATTAAGATTCTACTGCTGTTGCATTCTGTGGGCTGGACGATTTGTTTCGTCTATGTTCGTCCCACTTGTCATGAAAACCTGCGACTACGCCAGGCTGGGATATTTGTATGAATAGGACAGAGGGATCACTCGGACGTTCACGACCCCTGCCGTCAATTTGCATAGTGTAGTGGTTGAGAGGCGTGACTCTTTGCGTTGTCTACTTTCGAGTCGGATTTTGTGTACTCGCCAAAAGCCGTTTTTTCGAGACGAGAGTGGGTTTTGCACTGGTCTTGGGTTGGGGGCCCCGTGTCTGGACGTCGAGAGTCCGGGGGGTACGGTCCGATTTTCTTCCTCTACAGCAGTAGAAGGCGGTGCTTTGGTTCTCACGCGAAATATGACGCGGAATGCATCGGCGACAACACCTCGTGCTTATCACCACCTGTCTGCTCTCGGACACCACCGCCGCCACCACCGCCGTAGGCGAAAGAAGATAGCGGGTGCTTTGGGCTGGCGGAGAAGGAGTTGGAAGATGAGACGGAGGCGGTCCTAGCGGGAGGGAGGTCCATGGATGCCGACACCGGGCTGGCGGTTGCGCTGGGCCACGCCGTGGCTGCAGCCGTAGCTTCGATCCACATCCTCTTCTTCGTGCTGCTGTATTTCAACATGTGGGTGTGGGTGTTTGTCGCATGTCCCTCATTTACATAGCCCCCCACCCCCCCCCTCCCCCCC